GGAGGCAGGATTCCAAGCCTAGGACTCCAGAGCTCTTTTCACCCTTTTAACACACTTTGCTGAACTGAACCCAGAATTCCACAGTGAAAAACCTGCCCAGAGTGGAGACAGACAAAGAAAGAGAGTGAGGGGCAGGGTGGAAGGTGTGTGGGTCCTCACTGTCTTGAGATGGCACCGTGGAACCACGAAGGGATCCCTCCTTGGGCCAGCTGGCCCACCTGTGTCTGCACGAACCAGTCCAGTCGCGGGGGCAGCGGTGGGGGCAGCTTTTTGGCCTCTGTCATGGCTTCCTGGGGAGGATATCTCCTGGGGGTAAGAACAAGGAGAGAGCGTCAAGCCTGGTCCACCTCCCATCTTTGTTCTGTCCTTACCTCCTCTTTTGAGAAATCCTCCAGGCTGGAAAGAGCAACAGGCTGGAAACTGGCTTGAGTTTCTTGAGCACCTACTATGTGCCAGCACTTTATGCACATTCATTCATTGACTCCTCCCCAAAACCCTCCAAGGATTTTTCCTTTTCCTTTTATTCTTTTTTTTTTTTAAGATTTTTATTGGGGAATTGGGGGAGGGGAACAGCGTTGGGGCATCAGGGAAGGGGTACAGACAAGTTGCTGTCCTTTTGTTCTTCAGTCTAGTTGTGGAGGACATCGCTTCACTGGCCCATGCTGGTATTGTGATCATTGTGCTTTTCCTGGCTGAGGCAGATCGGTTGCCGGCCACTGGACGGCTGCTCACTGCGGCTCACAGCGGCTCATGCCGGGTGCCGGCCACTCATGGTAGGTAGCTCACAGCAGCCCACTGCAGCAGGGGCTGCAGCCTACGCCGTTGCTGGCGACTCACAGCAGCCCAGCTCCAGGTCAAGCTGTTGTTCACCATCTTAGCTGTAGAGGACGCAGCATCACTGGCCCCCATGTGGGATAGGAACTGGGGCCCTGCTGCTCAGAGCTGGCGTCCCAAGCCAGCTTTTAACCAACACACCACTCAGCCGGCCTCTTTTCCTTTTGTTCTTATTATGCCATTACAACAAGTGTTGGAAACTTCCTTTTATAAACATATGTATTTACATTTAAGAACCGAGTATATTTAAATATTAAGTAACTACCAATGTCTCCAGAGGAATGTGGAAATGGCAAAATGGTAAGTAAATGAAGGAAACAGTGGACATGCAGTGGGTGCCAGAAAGGGTTGCCATGGTTTCATTAAACACCACAGAGATGTGCCCCCAAACAGTTGCTTCTGCCACCGATGTCGTCACTGATGGCACACCTATAACGTGTCAGGTGTGTGGTTCATTCACATTCATTCTCGACAATTTTAAGTTCAGGTACCACTAGACATAGAGCTGAAAAAGGGAGAAAGAAACCAGCACCAATTTGCAAAGCAGTACAGTCAGTGTAAAGCCAGAAAAAGGGTTGTGTGCTACTGGGTTGACCCTTCACACTCAGCCTTAATTCTGTCCCCAAACTGGCCCTGCGCCCCCCCGCCCCACTGTCTCTGTCTAATTTTTCAATATTGCAGAAGGTCATTGTTACCGAGCCATTTCCACAGAGAGGGGCCTTGTTGACCAACTCACTCAATATTGACTTTCTCCTGCCAGAAGACAGATGTCAAGCACACCCTCCAGGGAGTGGCCCAAAGGAATTCTGGGGCAAGTGAAATTAAGTCTATTAAGAAATATTTAATAAAGCAAGGTGAAAGTGGTTAAGAGCCTGGAATTGGAGCCAGACATCCTGGGTTCAAACCCCAGCTCCCCCACTTAGCTGCTATGTGACCTTGGGCCTGTCAACTTAACCCTCTCTGTGCCTATATTTTCAACTGCAATTTGGGGATAATGATGATATTTACCTGACTTGGTGTAAGCCCTGATAGTGTGTATTCTTTCTCTTTATTGTAATGAGAGTATCTGACAAGCTTTGATTACTGAGGCATCAACTTCAGCGAGAGCAACCTCGAGTAAACATTGCCAGCCACAAGATTAAAAAGCCAGGCTGCCTTCGCCCACTGAGGCTCCTTGGTTTTAGAGATCTTGGTTGATTTCAATAATTGACTATTTGGGCTACTTACCCAAGTACACTTGCTCTCTCTACCTGTGACCTCGTTGTGTGGTCCCACATGTGCTGTATAATTTCCAGGTCCTATAAGTAATAAATAAACCTTTATTATTATTATTTTTTAAGTTCCCTGATGGTTATTGCTGAAGGGCATCTTGAAATCTAAGGGCTGGTCCAGCCACAATATTGGTTATTGATCGGCTGAGACCAGCACAAAACGCCTGTATGTATAAAATAAATATTCATGAGTCCAGCAATGACCTAGCATGGGGTAATGTTTATAGGCTTGTTCTTTTTTCTACCTGGGAGACCTCCTATCCTCCTACTTATCCTTCAAGAACCAGCAAACAAACAAACAAACAAACAAAACCCTCCTCCAGGCAGCTTCCCTTCCTCCTCCCCTAGACAAAGCCCTAGCATTTTCTGTCCCCCACGTTTCCCCACCATTCTTGCCTCTGGCCCAGCCTTGCCTCGTGGAGCTAGAGTGTCTGTGTTTGGTTCTGTCTCCCCCATATTAGGGGCTCCCAGGATCTGGGCCCAGGGCTAGGTTTTTTTGGAATTTTCTGGGTCCACAGCATCACCTGGAGTTGGCAGGCATAGAGAAGGGTGCAGGATGCGTGATAATGAATAGATAGTGTAGTGATGAATGAAGCCATACTAAGTCTCAAATTCCTGACCCTAGCATGGGGGTCTCCCCCACCTCCTCATGCCCCATGTTCCAGCCCTAACAGCATCCTTGCTCTACCCCAAACTATCAAGCTCTTTCTCCCCTCCACACCTTTGCCCATACTGTGTCCTGCCGGGAAAGGCCCTTTCCCCAGCTCCAGCTCCATTTTCCATTTGTCACCTCCCAGTGCTTCCAGGAAATTCCCCATGTATCTCTGGTCCTCAACAGCCCTGTCCCTCCCGCTGGCCCAGCCTGGTCCCCGGGGTCTGTTTTCTAGAGGGCCAGAATGGGGCTGAGGCTCTGGGGTGGGGGGTGGAAGCAGCCTCTCGCAGCATGGGGCAGGTATAGGGGTGGCCACATGGTTGACTGAGGAGTCCCCACCCAGGGAACATACCTGGGAGTCCCTGGGAGGCCGAGGCCTTCGCTCTGGCTGTGCCCTGCGCCTGTACAGCTTAGGTTTCAATTCAGGGTCCACACGTCAGCAGGGGCGGGGTGTTGCCCTGGGGCAGTTCCTGTTTCCTTAAGCAGGTGAGCCCCAGGGTGGGGACTAGGACAACCTCAGTCGCCCTCTGTCTGAACTCTGACGAAGCCACTGAGCTGCAGGTGGAGGGGCACCCTCGCTCTACCCGGACCTCGACAAGCCTTTATTGAGCACCTGTTGTGTGCTAGATCTTCAGGGGACACAGACGAGCCTCCAAGACAGGCAGAGGCCCCACCCTCCTGGCATCTATAATCTAGCCAGCAATGAAAATTAAGAAATTATTAACGTAGTTGTTTAAAAGCGAACAGCTGGTCAGGAAGTGGGGACTGGAATTGCAAGAACCTCCCCCGCTCCCCCCGAGAGGTGGCCTAACTGAGGAAGGGGAACCTGGGGGCAGGTAGGAGTCAACCTGATTGGAGTGGTGGTGGGGGCAGCACATGGCTTTAGGTGGAGGGAGCAGCAAGAACGAAGGACGGGAGGGAGAATCGAGGCTGTATAGGCTCTGTAAAAAAAAAACCACCCAAAACCATTTAAAATTATGACTGTGTTAGCATCATTATTATGTATTCATTTTTTTTCTCCTGATTTAAAAAAACATTTTGAGGGACCCTACCCACACTGTGGGCTATGAATATAGGAAGCTGTGCCTAACGGGTCAATCGGCCCGGATGTGTGCTGGCCATCCCCCCTCCTTCTACAGCACATGGTCAAAACCACTTCCTCCTCCTCTGTGAGGCAGAATGGCCCAGATCCTCATGGCTAAGCTGGCGGGGTGGGGGAGGGGGCCTCCCTGCAAGCCTATCACCCTGGCCCAGCCGGTCTCCATAACCTCATTGCAGGCTCAAGCTGGGTACCTCCAGCGCCCCCTGCTCTATGGAGGGGGGTTTGTCTGGAGTCTGTGGGTCAATAAGCCCCAAGTAGGAGGCGTAAATGAACCTGTTTCTCACTCACTCACTGTGTGGCCTTGGGTGAGTTGTTCAACCTCTCTGGGTCTCACTTTCCTCAACTGTGAAGTTGCACAATAATAGCCCTCCTTAGACTTGTGATAATGACAGGCAAGGCAACCTTCAGGCGACAGCACCGGTTTCAGTTAAGAGTATTATCAGGACTCTTCACTGGGACTTAATCTGATGCGCTTTTTTTTCCTTTAAATTTTATTGGGGAATGGTCACTGGTTACACATTGCTTTCATGCTACAATGGCATAGTTGACTCTTTTAAGGAGGACGCAGCTCACAGTGGCCCATGCGGGGATCGAACCGGCAACCTTGGTGTTATCAGCACCACGCTCTAAACCAACTGAGCTAACCGGTCACCCCTAATATGATGCTTTTGCATCTGGCTGGGGAGACGCAGGCTTGGGCTCTAGGCCTCCCAAGTTGGGCCACCTTGGGCAACTCACTTCGCCTCTCTGATCCTCCATGCCCTCCACAGCCCAATGGGTTGGCTCCCAGCCTTGACGATGAGGAGCAACACTGTTGGGAGGGATCGTAAGTGTCCAAGCAACCCTTGTAACTGAGAAAGCCTGGCCATCAGGGTCCCATTGATCTCGAGTTCAGTCTCCAGGAACATGGGGCCTTTCAGTCCATGTCTGGCCCAGCTCCCTGAGGCCCCACTACAGAGGGCTCCATCCACCCTGACTCCTCTGACCTGCTTGGGGGATGTGGTCTCCCACAAACTAACGTCACCCTTGAGAATGTCACAACACAGTCACCCCCTCCACCTCTCTGTGACCAGTCCTGGAACCTGAGAATGGACAGGCAGCCCCCAGCGGAACTTCCGGAAGGGGACCAGCAGGGAGATCTGGGGCTGGGACGCCAAGGCCCCTCCCCCTCCAACACCAGGACTTCTCACTGGAGGCTTCGGTTGGTGATTGGGACTTCCACAGCTTCACGTGGGTGGCCCTGGGGGGAGGCAACTACAATGCCATCTCGCTGTGGATGTCAGGGGTGAAGTCAGGCTTGTGGAGCTGCCATGATGAAGGGGAAATAAGAGTTGGCCATGAGAAGTGAGTTCCCACAGATGCTATGAAGCAGATGAGATGGGAGGGAAGGAGGAAATGCCTCTCTGCAGAGGCAGCCTTGGGTGGCCATGACCTGATGGACAAGTGGGCTGTGCAGATTTCAGAGGACTGCCAGACCATGGGTGCAGCAAGTGCAAGGGCACAGGGGCAGCAGCAAGCATGGTGTAAAGCAGGAGAAGGCTGGAATGGTGACCCAGGGGACAATGGCAGAGACAAGGGAAGAGGTGGGCAGAGCCACAGCACGCAGGAACTGACGGCCCATGGTGGAGCACGAGTTGTATCTGAGCACAACAGGGAGTTGGAGGTAACACCACCTTATTTCTATTTCTTGCTTTCCTTTTTTTTTTTTTAAAAGATTTTATTGGGGAATCGGGGGAGGGGAACAGCACCGGGGAACCGGGGAAGGGGAACAGACAAGTTGCTGTCCTTTTGTTCTTCAGTCTAGTTGTGGAGGACGTTGCTTCACTGGCCCATGTTGGTATTATCATCGCTCTCTTCCCGGGTGAGGCAGTTGCCCGCCCATTGGACGGCCGCTCACACAAGCTCATGCCCACTGCTGGCCAGCCCCACTGCAGCCTGCACCGTCATCAGCGACTCACGGCAGCTCAGCTCCAGGTCAAGCTGTTGTTCACCATCTTAGCTGTAGAGGGCGCAGCGTCACCAGCCCTCATGTGGGATCTGAACCAGGGGCCCTGCTGCTCAGAGCTGGCGACCCAAGCCAACTCCTAACCAATGCACCACCCGGCCAGCCCATATTTCTATTTCTTAAGGACACCCTGGAAACAGACTGAAAGACAAAGGAGAGGCTGGGACAGAGGTCAAGGGAGTAATGGCGCCAACATGGGAGGGGATGGCTACAGGGTATGATGGAGAAGGAAGATGGAAACCAAAGTCAGAGCTCTCTCTTGGCTGTTCCATTTATGTTGCCGATCAGACATCTGAACTGGAATAGACAGCAGGCAGGGGGGACGTGGTGTCTGGCGCTCAGACTGGAGTCTGGGTTAGATCTGCAGTGTAGAAGTCACTAGAAGTCACTGGAATGTCTAAAGGCCTGCTGGCCGGACTGACCATTGGCTGGCATTCAGGAACTTGTAGGGTGAAGTTCCCCACACTGATATGAAACCTCCCTACATGAAGAGTGGCTCACAGCCGTGTCTAAATGTTTGTACAAATGGTGTGGTTTATGCTCAGCACCTGCTTCCTAGGCTGCTGGAATTCTAGTACGTGCCAGGCGGAGGTGCAGACATGCCCAGCCCCCATAAAACCCAGGGCGCCCTGGCAGGCGCTTCACATGGGTTGTCACAGGTTTGCGATGGAGGAACTCAGTGTGTCCTGTATGACCCCACATGGAGAGGACTCCTGGAGTCTTCCACCTAGTTTCCTCTGGATGTGGCGCCACGGGCCTCCTCCCTGAGCCCGTTTTCCTTTTGTGTCCTTTGGCTGTACTCCGCTATATGCCGAATCCCAGCAAGTCACCGACCAGGCGGTAGTCCTGGGGACCCCAACAGAGTAGAAGAAACCTGTTGCAGGGCCAGTCTGAAGAGGCAGTGGCCGAGCCATGTGCCAGAAGCCGGGAGAACCAGGATCTTGGGTATGGGGGCGGGGCAGGGGGTGCTCCCAAGAGGTGAGGAAGGGGGCTCACAGCTGAGCGTGTAACTTGCCAAATGGGTGTCAGCAGGGACCAAGACGAGAGAATCTTGGTGGCATCATGGGGTCTGTTGACTAAGCAGGTTCAGCAGGGTATGTGGTAAAACCCAAGTGGTGCTAAGAGTAGGGAACCATTTACCTGAGGGCTGGGGTAGAGCTGGGCGGGAGTGGGAAGCTTAATTTTCCAAGGCAGTCTTTTGATAACAGTGTTATCTTCTCAGAGCCTGGGGTACCCACCGCATCCACTTTGAGCCTGTCTAGACCTGAGGGCCCGACCGGCCTGGGCTGTATTTTAAATGGGCATCCTGTGAACCCAACACCTGGTTACATCTACCTACAGGGAAACTGGGGACATGAAAATCCGTGAACTTTAAAATAAGCTTTAACTTGTTTGTTTTCCTTAAGTGCGTTTATCGATGTAAACAGAGCATGTTAAGAGATTCCAGGGGAGAGGAGGCTATGGCTGGTATGTTGGTTTTAATTCAAAAAAGAAATTACGACGATGCCAATGACTTGGGTTGACAGCAGCTTGAGGGGAGGGTAAAAAAAAGAAAAAGGCTCCCTGATGACACCCCTCAGACCTGGTGACCTGGTCCCAACTGCATACTCTCTAGGGGGAAGCAGAGCTGTCAAAACAAAACTAGTGACGGCAGTTAAAAATCAGCCCAAATGGCTCTGCAGTCAGTCTGTACCAGGGACGCTTCGAGCTCTCGGCCACATCCAGCCACAGGTGTGCACCTGTCCCCAGTCATCCGGGTTTGCCACTGGAAATCAAAGACGGAATCATTTCATGGCACTACGGATCTGGAAAAGTAAAAATCTCAGCTAGAAAGAATGTCCAATTTGGAGGCTGTGGGAAGACAAAGAGGAGTGGGGGCTGTTTGGGGGCTGAGAAGGCAGACACCCCGATCATGGGTGAACAGTGTATGGTTGCACTTTCAGGGTTACCCGTGGGACACACGGTGCCCCGTCAGTGATCAGACGGGGACTGCCGAGCTGCCCGCTGACCACGCCCGAGGCCTGGCCAGACTAGACCGAAGCCTGGCTGTGAACAGGAAAGGCTCCTGCACTCCTCTTTCCTTCTGAGCACTGTACACAGGATTTCCTTAATTTGTGCTTCCCTTTGGTTTGAGAGTCAGAGAGAGTGGGAAAAAGAAACAACCGCTTTTGTCACTTGTCCAAAACGGAGAGGAAAGGTGAAAGTGGGCGTCAGATGTTTCCAGGGCCTGGTGTGGGTCACCTCGCTGACGGTGCAGAGCCGGGCACTCCTGGAACCATCACTGGCTTTTGGGGACCTCACTACTGCAGTGGGGCATGTAGATGGGCTTTCTGGTGCGGTGTGAGCTGTGTCACATCTGGGAGATGGAGGCTCACCTCATTCCCGTCTTTCTCTCCAGGTAGGTACACAATGCATGGGTCAGTTCGGCGGACGTCACAGGAAAAATAGCAAATCCTTAACTTATTCCATCTTCAAAGTTGAAAAAGATCAGACAGTTACTAAAATAAACAATTTCTCAATTGTGTTCTGGTGGCCGTGGGCCCGGTGGCCGCGGCAGGGATGTTGGAGGGGGTAGGGCCCCGGCTGAGTGAAGGGCTCACTCAGGACAGGCACAGTCAGCTCGGCTGAGCAAGGCTCAGAGTAAGGCGGCGTTCCTCACAGAAGAACACATCGGAAAAAGCTGGTCTTCTTCTGCTGGTCTGGTGTGATTTTGACTCCCTGGTTGCTCCCTTGGGGGCTGTTGCCTTCCTGAAGTTACAAAAGGTTTTCTGACATTACGGCTGAGCATCAGCACTACATCTCTTAACCAATCAGCAAGCCAACCAAGGAACCAACCAACCATCCATCTGCAAATCCATTCATCCCCTTCCATCCACCATCCATCCACCCCCTTCCTACCAACCATGCACCTGTCTATACTCTTCCACCCAACTCTCTATCCATCCAACCATCCCCTTCCATCACCCATCCATCCAACTGTCCCTTCCAGCTGACAACTCATCTTTCACAAACCTAGATATACTTTTCATCTACTGCTCATCCACCCTTTCAACCACATCCATTCTTTCACTTATTCACCTACCCAACCACCCCTTTCCATTCATCCCCTCAACACCTTTCCATTTATTCACCCATCTCACTTCTTCCCTACTTCCTTCTCCACGCACCCACCCTTCCCTCCTTATTTCTGCCCCTGTGCTGAGCACCTATCAGTGAGGCAGCCAAGGGGCAGCGGAAAGACTCTGTCCCTTAGGATGTGGGAGGCAGGGGGCTGGGTTCAAGGTCCTAATGCCACTCCACTTGGCTGGTCTCCATGTCTCTGTGCTGAGGCTCTGGCTTACCACCTCCTCCACAAGTCCACCTTCCACCCTGCTGCAGGTGATATTAACCCTAAACTCTAACCCTGTCCATGTAAGCCTTACTGAAAACACACCAGTGCCCCCCACTGTTTTCAGAGGACCGCCTCAAATCTGTCACCCAGCATTTGGAGCCTCTGTGATCTGGCCCCTGACAACCCTGGGAACATAAATCCTATTTTCTCCCATGTCACCCCGTTTGAAAAGGTTCAGTCCCTCTTCTTTGACTAATTCCTTCTCCTCTTTCAGCTCTTAGGTAAAACCTGAATTTAATGAACAGTAACTCTTGAACGCCTACGCTGTGTCAGGCACTTCCGTGGTCAATGGGCCTGCAGTGGCGGACAGGAGCCCCCTGCCTTGGGGAGCTCACACTGTGTGTGGGAGACGGAGATCACACAGGTAAACAAACAAGCGGTGATGTCCCGGTGGGGGGAGTAAGGGAAAAAGGAGGGCGAGGGATGGAAGTGTGTTTTGATGGTGATGTCTGAACAGGGGCCTCATGGAGTGAGGGAGTGACGCCTGAGACAGTCCAGGCGTGTGGTCAGCAGAGATGCCCCCGAGGACATCTGTGCCCTAATCCCTGGAACCTGTGAGTATGGTACCTGATGTGGCAGAAGGGATTTTGCAGATGTGACTAAAGTGAGAAGGGGAAAACAGGCTGGATCATCCCAGTGGGCCCATCTAATCCCGTGAATCCTTAAAGGCAGAGAAACCTTCTCAGTTGTGGTCCGAGAAAGAGAGGTGATGATGGAAGCAGGGTCAGAATGATGCTGAGGGGCTGGCTCTGAAGATGGAGGAAGTGATTACAAGGCTACAGATAAGTGTCCTCTACAAGCTGGACAGGCAAGGAAATGGATTCTCCCCTGGAGCCTCCAGAAATGAACGCAGCCCTGCTGACACTTTGATCTGAGCCCCAAGAGACCCACGTCAGACTCCTGACCTCCGGGACATTAAGAAAATGAGTGTGTGTGGTGTAAGCTGCTAAGCTGGTTACAAGAATCTTTTATGGAGGCCCTAGGAAACTAATAAGGGGGTAGAACCCCAAATGAAGGGGAAAGAAAGCAAACAAATATGGGGTGCTCCAAGAACAAAAGGCCAGCGTTGCTGGAGCACAGGGGACGACACGGTAACAGCAAGGGGACAAGGTAGAGTGGGGTGGCAGCAGCCAGAGCATGAGGCCAGGTGGCCACAGCAGGGACACTGGCCCCGGGTGTGGCGTCTGCTCACAGTGCAGTGAGAAGCACTGGGTCGTGCAGAGGAGGGTAGAACGCCAGAGGTCCAGAGGTGGGGTGGGCATGCGACGCTTTCAAGAGAGAAGAGGGGGTTGGGAAGAGCTGGCCATATCAGTGATGGAAAAGACAGATACAAACTTGCAACTCGTAGATAAACAACTCCTGGGTATCTAATGAAGAGCACTGTGATTATAGATAACAATACTATATTATAAACTTCAAAGTTACTAAGAGACTAGATCTTAATTGTTCTCAGTACAAAAAAGAAATGATAATGATGTGACACGACAGAGGTGTCCGCTAATGCTACCATGGTAATCACACTGCAATACACTAAAGTATCAAATCACATCGTGCACCTCAAACTTACAGAATGTTGTATGTCTGTTACATTTCAATTAAAGAAATGTTAAAAAGATTGATATGAAATGGCTGCAACTCTGAGTATCACAAAGGTGGTAGGAAATGGGTAGGAATTTAACTGTCAGTGATTTGCGACTCTGTTAAGAAAAAGCGAAATCACAAGGATTATGGCTGCGCACCAGCACTTCGAAATCTGTGCCCTGGAAGGACCTGGCACATCCTGGAGGAACCAACAGGCCAGTATCAAAAGCACAGGCCAAGGGTTACCCTGGTGCTCGGTAACTGCCAGTGGACAAAAGTGAGTCAGAAGGATTGTTAAGAATCAAAAATTTAATATTATTCTGAAGAGAAAAAGAATTTTAAGAAAATCACAGTTGTAAGAAGACGTTTGTAAGAAAAGTACACTGGTTTCTACGGACTGCTTCCCGTTTTGGCCAAAGAGCTATTAAATTGATTCTGTGCCTTAAGATTCAATGCATGGTATCTTAGAATTATGAAAATACACTCGTTTTAAATCAGGTGTGAACTACTTGACTGGCATTTTTTGTTTTATGTGTACTCTTGTGTGACGAGATGTAAAACGCTCCACAACAGAGCGCTTTATCCTTCTCTATCAGACCCGGAGAGGGTCACCTGGCCAGGAAAGAATGACCACTGGAACTGAGGCTCCCAGGCAACATTCATGACCCCGTTTAGGTGCTAAACATGCCTGAAGTACAGCTGAGCATTCCAACTCGACCAAGAAAGCATTAGTTATGCTGAGTGTTAGGAACTAGGAAGTGCTCTTGCGATGAGGAAAGGCAAACAGAAATAAATGACAGGGTGGATGGGAGGGATTCAGGCAGGACCTCCTGGGGGCGTCAAAACCCTGGGACGCACTGAAGGCTGTTTTGAACCGTCACAACCTGCAGAATTTGGGGCTGGAGGGGGAAAAAGGGAAAAGGCTTTCGACCTGCCAGACTCATCAGGATGGGTGCTGCCGGAGGCCATCGTCTCCAGAGGGAGATGGGAAAGGCCATGTGGCCCCTGCTGGCCCGTGTGCTCAGCTGGCAGAGCCCTGTCTGCCTGGGACAGCCTGGAGCTGAGCAGCTCCGGGCCATGGGGAAGAACAGAGTAGATGAGCGTGCCCAGGAGCTGATGTCCCGACCACACCTGCTATCTCTTCCTCCTTCCCAGCCTCGGGTCCAACTGGGTCCCGAAACGCAGAATGTGCTCAGGCTACGTGACACCACTGAGGCGGAGGACAGCAGGCTCCCACTGGGAGCCATGCGGAGATCAGGAAAGACATACACTCACCAATTTTTTGTCCATTTTTGCTTTGATGTCTCTGGCGAGAGTGAAAAATGCCTGTGGAATAAGGATGTTGTTAGCACCCCAGCAGTGAGCAGCAGGTGGGGGCTTGCTGGTTTCTGGGCACCACTGCGGAGTGGGTGTGGTGGGACAGTGGGGCGGGAGGGGGCCTCACCTGTCCAGTCCCATCAATGGCCCTGGGAGGTGGGGTCAGGGAGGACTGAGGCTCAGATGAGCCAAGTGACTTGTCCCAAAGCACCCAGTGGTTAACTGACCAATCTGGAAGAATCCAGGAAGAGAACCCGTCCCTGACTCCTGTGCTGTCTGCCTGCTTTACCCCCTTTCTGACGGTCAGGAGTAGGGCGGAGAGAAAGACAAGCAGCTCTTTGTCCAAACAAGTTTCATTTTGGGTCCTTGCCTGGGAGAGGGGCCTGAAAGGGCCAGGATGGGGTGAAAGGGTCATCTTCCAAGGATGGCGAAGGCGCAAGCTGGCCCGACCCTAGGCTGCTGCCTCCGTTGCAGCTTCCTGATTCTCTCCTCCCTTCCCTCGTCTGTTCTTTCAACGAATACTTACAAACCCCACTCAGTCCCCTGGGCCTCATACAGAGAAAACTCAGCCTCAGCATTTGCACTTGAGGGGCTTCTGGTTTGGTGAGAGGGGCAGAGTCTCAGCAAACACCCACATGATGTTCTGTCATGAAAGTTCTGTCATGGAGCAGGGGGCTTAGGGTGCTGGGGACCCAAAGTGGTAAGCCATCCCTATCTGGGGATGGCAGAGCAGAGGATTCCTTGAGGAGAGGCCTAATAGAAAAGGGGGTGCAAGGGAAGGGACCATAAGCGAAGGCTTGACGGTGGCCTGGGATGGAGCGTGGTGGGCAAGGCCTGCTGCATGGGCGGCACACCCCGTGCGGGGCCGGCTAGGGAGGGCCTCCCGAGGCAGACGTGGGGGGCTGGGGATGATGGGCACCCCGTGCGGGGCCGGCTAGGGAGGGCCTCCCGAGGCAGACGTGGGGGGTTGGGGCTGGGATGACATGGACGATCCGTTTGAGAAAGATCACGGAGTCGTGCGTGGGGTGGAGAAGGCAGGTCGGCTGCAAGGCTGGCGTCACCGTGGAAAAGAGAGGTCGGCCTAGATTCCCTGCTTCATCTGGGCTTGTGACTGGGACCTGTCTGTGTGGGTGGCACAGCCAAGAGCACCAACCCAGAGTTGGCCTGGGCACCAGCCAGCTGGGACTCTCTGAGCCTCTGTAAACCCCTGCCTGCTGCCCAGGGCTCCCCAAGCCAGAGAGAAAATGTCCTAGGTGCCTAGCCAAGGCCCGCACCTGCTGACATCAGAACACTGGGGCAATTTCCCCTGAGGTCACCTGGGCCTCACACACAGCCCTGCCCAGGAAGTGCCTCTTGGACGGATGGCCGACAGGGCAGCTGAGAGCCAGTGGCCAGTCCCTGTGGCAGAGCCTCTCTGGAGGGTACAGCCCGATCCTCAGCCCAAAGGGGCCGGTGCTGTGGGCCTGAGACTCACATTCTCCACGTTGATGTTGGCCTTTGCACTGGTCTCCATGAACTTGATTCCATAGTCCAGAGCCAGCTGTGAGGGAGACACACGTGCACATGTCAGCCGCCAGGCGCCCCTGACCCCCAGGAAGCACCCTAAGGAGGGAACAGCGATAGGGGGAAAGGCCCAGGGCTGTGGAATTGCTCCTTTGAGTCACCAGTGGACAGCAGGTGGTGACTGTCCTTGGCAGGATTTTGGAGGGGGCCTGGCTCAAACCATGGCTCCATCCTCTGCTTTGCAGTTCCCCTGGACGTCATGCAGGGACATGCAGAGCACAGCACAGAAACCCTCACTGCTGGCCGCTTTAGCCCAAAGCTTGACTGGGCACGTTTCCCACTCTCTCTCCCACGGCACGTGCCCCACTGGAGTGACTAACTTGCTCCTGTTTGCCCGGCGAAGTCCTTTGTTCTAGGACCCCAGTCTTGAACATGCCAGGATAGTGGGCCACCTTATACTCATGAGGATTCTGAGGGGTTCTATCTCAAAGCCGGCCTTCCCATCAGCGAGCAATCGGGGGGCCATTTGGGGCGGGGCAGGGCAGGGCTGGCCTCCATGCAGGGAACCCTTAAATCCCGAGGTCCCTCTGCCCCAAGGTGCCTGGCAGTGCCAGGCCCAAGCCAGTTGCCATGCCCACCTTCTCTCCCCGTTCCTTGGAAACTTGTCTCTTGTCATTCACGTCACACTTGTTCCCAAGTATCATCTTTTCGACGTCTGCAGAGGCGTGCTGGGGGCAGAAGGGCAGACAGGGGAGATGAGAGGCGTGGTCAGACTGGCTCAAGGCCAACTTACAGCCCAACCCCCAATATTAGAGTGGTGGGGTCAGGACTGCTAGGCACACCCTTGTGCAGATGACAAGCTGAAGCTCAGAGAGGCTGAGTGGCCCTTCCAATGTCACACAGCCAACACGAGAGCCAATTCCAGGGTTCTGGCTGCTATGACCAAGCACACACTTTCTGGCTGCTGAGGATGGTTTCTCTGTGGGCTGCGTCAACCAGGCTCCTGTGTCTTGTGCTGGGCTCCTGGTGGGGTCTGTGGGAGGTACCCCTGCTCATCTCCCTCTCCCTCCCAGGCTCCTCTGCTGGGGGCCTCAGCTGCTGTCCTGGGAGCTTCTGCCTTGCTCCAGCTCCCTCGCTTTGGGCTCCGGAAGCCCTGGGGTGGTGGCAGCCCCGGTGCTTCGCCATCCCCTGGTGTTCCCTTAACTCTGCCTTCACGCCTGAAAATGGCACCTTTGTCCTGGTCTCACTAAAATACCCTTCATGGCTTCCTTCCTAACTTCCTGCCAACCAAAAGGCTCTCTCGCTTGCTGGCCAGAAACAGCACTTCCACAAAGAACACCATGAGTATGGGAAGTTCCTTCTCAGCCAGGTCCAGCCTCCCGCCAGCAAATTACTGTCATCAGGGAGGTGACTCTGCAACTGCTCATAACCCTTGGGTCGGCAGTGAGTGACCTGCTGTGGCTGTCCAGGAGGGGAAAGTCCTCTGGCCACACCTCAGACACAACGCCCTACCTGGTGAGTCAACAAAAGCTACAAGCACCGCCATCCGGGATGGCTTTAGGTGTGAGAAGTTCTTTGGAAAGCAAGAGGGTGATGACGCTGGCTTTGTGACGGGGAGGTGGGGCTGGCCACCTTCTCCTCCCTCTCCAGGTCAAGGTCTCCCGTCACAGCCAGCTACAATCTGAGAGCTGCTGGCCTGAACACGAGGAGCTCATACCAGCTCACACCCTGCTCTGCTGTGGTTCAAAGTACCTGATGTAGCGTCTCACCACACCTTTCCAATATAAGGGCCATGCCAATTCTAGAACCTTACTTTTCTAGAAAGCACCAAATGCTCATGGTGACTGAGAGCTTGAGTATCACCTCTCTCTTAACCAAGACATCACCAAACTCAACAGCCCAGCTGGGGAGATGGGCTCTCAGAGCCACTCCGTGATGAGGCCAGGCCAGCGTGGTCTCAGGGACCGACCACCTGGGTTCCAGTCCCCACTCTGGCTACGTCCCTAGGTAATGGGGCTCTGGGCAAGCTCCTTGTGAGGGTCTTTGTACATCAGTGATCTTATCTTTAAACCAGGGGGCTCCAGGGTGAGGACCGACAAAAGGACAGATGGGAAGTTCCTGATGTGTGGATGGGGCCCACAAGCCTTACCTCCTCAATGTTCCGAATCCAGTTCCGGATGTTGTCAAAAGACTTCTCGTTGGTGATGTCGTAGACCAGCATGATGCCCTGAGCAGGGGGAGACAGAGATGCGCTCTGGACAAGCTGTGAGCTCTCTGAGGGGGGAGATCCCAGTTGGGGGGGGGGGCAGCAGGGACCTCGACATGATATCTCTCCGCACAATTCCCTCCTCTCCATCCCTGGGGCTCTTCTTCTGTTGGGCTCCAGCACCAGCCTTTCCATGGTCTCCCACGCTCCGGTCCTGCCCCCTCAGCCACCGAGTTGAGCCTTCACCCCACAGACCGGACCTCACCACCCACGCTCACAGACAGCTTTGCTGGCTCCCTACTACAGGCAGGATAAGTACGGCCCACTCACCCTGGCAGCCCCCGAGGTCTGCCCACCTCCTGCCATCACTTCCTGCAGCTCCCTCCCCAGCACCCACTGTGCTCCCCTCCCACACCGACTGCCTCTGCTGTGCTCGGCTGCTTCCACCCTCACTCATACCCCCGCCCTGGCCTAAGTCATCTCCTGGGCTCAGGAGCACCACCTGCCCCAGCAATGACCCTTGTTTGGCACCTGCTATGTGTCAGGCACTGCAGTGGGTCTCCCTGAGGCCTCACAGGCCCAGGTCAGGCGGTCCCATCATCTCTGCTCTGCAGATGGGGAACCTGAGGCTGGAGGGTGGCGTGGATAGGTCTCTTCTCCGCCCCCACAGCACAGCAAAGAGCACAATGGGGTCTGAACCCTGGGTGGCCTGACCTTGACACCCGTGTGCCTTCTAGGGACCCCACCAGAGTGGGGGCCGGCTTCAAGCTCAGGGTCAGGCAGCACTGAGGCCCCTGTGGTTCCATAATCAATGTGTGAGCACCTGGGTACAGTCCATGGGTCCCGAAAGAGGTGCAGAGCGACCCTGCCTCCACCTGAGCCCACAATCACCATTACTGTGAGGGGCAAATATCCCCATTTGTTAGAAGGGAAACTGAGGTCCAGAAAGAAGTGACCTTTAAGGTTTGAGCCCAGGTAAAGTTAAGCCTGAAGAAGCTGATGACACTAGCTCCCGTGAGGAACCTCTCTAGACCCTCCTTAGGAACAAGCACTGCTCAGGGCCACACTTGCACGGTCCTCATGCCACCCCGGACGTCTCGAGAGGTGCCCACGGCAAGCCCCCTGTGCAGCCCTGCACCTGGGCTCCGAGGCACCCGGCCCCAGCTGTCCTGCAGGCCCAGCTTACTTCATTCCCTCACGTTACCCGCTCCCAGGGCCCAACCCTTCATCCACAACCGCTGGTGTGGCCAAGACCTTGTCTCTGAGCCGCTTGAGTTTGCAGAGTAAGAACACGGGCCGTGTGTGCTGGGCAGGGAACTGTGGGGGCGAGGCTGTGTGACAACACCATGGAGGGCAAGAAAACCACAGCACTTTCAAATCCCCACTGTGACCTTAAGGATACGCACAGTGGCTGTACAGCCAGCCATGGCCCCTCAAAAATATGCCATCTGGGGCCCTGATTCAGGGGTCTCCTGGGACGACTGAATAGAGACTGCTGACGGAGGCCTGGCAGGTTTCAGTGGCTACAAAGTCTGCCTCACCCTGACCAAGGCCAGCACGGGCAGAAGATGCTGGTGGGCAGACTCCAAACATAGTCAGGGCCTCTGCCTAGCAGCCGTCCTCCCGCTATCAGGGCAAGAATGCCACAGGGCTGTGGGGCTCCTTTATCCAGGGACTGGCCCCTCTGCTGGCCTAGGATTCCCACTGCCACCACTAAGTTGGTGCCATGTGCCAAAATTGCAGGGTCCCAGATTTTTACTCATGGGGAGGAGGAAGGGAGAGCAGTGGATAGCTATTAGAAAAGAACACAAGTACCTGGAAAACACGGTGTCACCCTATTCCAGGTCCTCCCTGAAACTGCCCTTGGGGCTCCCAGTGACCTGTCTGGACACAGCTCCTCGTAGCTGTTTGTAAGCTCATAAGGGGGCACCAGACATCCAATGCCCCCATATTTGAGACCCCACAGTCTAGTACCACGTGGACAGAGATGATGATGGGGCTATAATGGCGGCAATGTTCCCTGCACTGTCCTGTGAGCTCACCCCTGGCCACACACGGCTCGGGGGCACCTGGAACACAGCTGGTGAGACTGTGGGGCTAGGTTTCCTATTTCAACCAATTTAAATTCAAATAGCTAGTGGCTTCTGTATGGGTCAGTGCAGGTCTAGGAGGATCGCAAACCACAGTCGTCTAGGAGCTGGACACGGTCTTACAAATGGCTCGGTCCAGCCTGGGCAGGGGCGGGTGCTAGAGAACGCCCTCCAGGACCGGCCCGGACACGCACCCTCTGCGTGAACGTAAGCTGGGTGTGGAATGGCGCTGAGTCTCAGCTTCCCCGTCTGTATAATGGAGATAACCATGGCGCCCACGCTCAGGGGAGTTCAGATGATGGCCAAGGCCTGGGCCCAGTGCCCGGCACAGGGAAGGGCTTGGTGAAAGGGCTGCAGGGTAGGGGTGGGGTGGGGGACTATTTCAGCCCAGAAAGGGACGGGGCCTACCTGAGGCTGCGCGGCAGAAGCTCCCCCGGGACCCGAGCGCCCTGAGGCCCCCGCCCCACCAGAGCACAGCAACATGAAGGGAAAATTAGTAAATGAATTTTAATGAGCAGCGCTAAGGTTGCAACCCTTGTGACTGAGTTTCTATTATGTTTCAGACACTGTGTGGGGCGCTCTAAATACTTAATGCCCCCACTCATTTCTGCTGTCTGGCAGCACTTCCTGAGCTCCCACCACATACTCAGCACCGTCCCAGGCACAAGGCATGTGGCAGTGACCAAGACGTGGCCCTGCCCTCACGGAGCTTATGGCCTAGTGGAGAAAACAGGTGTCTCTGCAGTTAAATGCCGGGGTGTGCCATGGAAAGGGCAGCGTGCGGTGGGATATGGAAATGGGGAGATGGCCGTCTAGCCTCTCAGCTGCCTGGGTGGGACACAGCCCTCCTGTTCTCTGTTCTACTCTCCAAGTAAGGAGATGGTCCTGGAGATCTGTGTCTGCTCCCTCTGGCCTCTGAGCGCCCCGCTTTGTACATACCTCACACGGGCCTGACCTGCTCAGGCCCGCAAGGGCAGTACCCTGGCCCATTCCAGGTCTCCCCTGCATCCAGTTCAAGCCTGGCCTGGACAAGGCACTCGGTAAAAATATTTGAGGGAGGAAGAACCAGTCTCCCGATCACATCACACTGCCTCAGGCCCAGGAAACGAATATAACAGCCAAGAGCCCAGAACAACTCAGCTCCTGGACCATCTTCAAGTTTTCAGTAGCAAATTCCACAGAGACCGACACAGGCCGTGTGAACACTCCTAAGTGTTGGGGCATGCCGTCTCCGATTGCACTGACCTCACCTGGAAGAACCGGCTTCCTGTGTCTTCCTTCATCCCCAAAGAATGAGGTTTCCTTAAACCCTGCATTGTCTCTGAAGCCAGCCAGACGGAGATGTATATACGTGGGGGAGGAGCACACAGCCTTCTCCTAAAACTAGCCTGGGACTAAGTACCCCCGAGGAGCCAGAGCAGGGGGCTCCTCAGAAACAGCCACGTTTCGGTATCCAAGCAGTGACATTCCTTCTGACTTAAAAAAACAAACACAAAAGAAAACCCCAATCCATACCATTGCGCCCCTGTAGTAGGCTGTTGTGATTGTCCGAAACCGTTCCTGGCCAGCTGTATCCCTAAAAACAACAAGGAGAGGGAATATTAGTGACGCTGTCACAGTGGGAACAAGGGGCATTAACCCAGGATGGATGCCCAGGTTTCTCAAGGGTCATCTCGGATTTGTCATCCTGCTGTGGGTAGTACCCGCTACTCTCCATAATGTTCCATCAGAGAAAAAAACTGGCCCAGAAGGCTGAGGACCTGCTAATGTCTCCCAGCTGGAAACGCAGAAAAGCCAACCTCTTCTGTACCTCTGCTTCCTGGGTATTCTCCCCGAAGCTTCTGGGTCTCAGAAGAGCCACAGTTGGATGTTATTATTTGTATAAATCCAGGACCACGAGTGTGGAAGGGGCGGGTCATATGGCATGGGAATACAGCTCCTGCTGATGGGCTGAGCTGCTGGGTGACCTCAGCTGGGGGGCTCAGGAAACACTCACACACCATCTCAGTGGATGCCAGGGGAGAAGTCCTTCCTCACTGGCATGGAGGTGACACCTGGGTAAAATAGGCCAGTGCCGAGCCTAGCTCCTAGCATGGAGGGTACTCAGTGTTTGGCTTAAAAGTGACTTCACAGATCAGTGGCAGAGCCAGGGCCATGTCTTTTTGCCTCTGGGTCGAGGGTTCCCCCTGTGTGGACTGTACATAACACCTCATTTGGGGCTAAGCTGACTTTCTGATGCCAATAGCAGGTGACGTTCACGGTTATAGTCATCTTATTCTCAACCATGGCCTAGTCCAGAAGGGTTTTAAGGACGTCATTAACTCCACTGAGATCCCTAAGAGCCAAAGCAGAAAGACAGGAGGAAAGGAAAGTGAAACTTGGCTTGCTGGTACAGTGTCACTTTGAACTTGGGAAGTGAGGTGGCTTGGGGAGTCAAGGATGGAAGTGGACGAACTTGTCTGGCTTATAACTCACAAGGTGGTAACTCACAGGTGGTAACTTACAAGGCAGCCAGAGCTGACTGACTAGGAGTTCTGTTGGATGGACAAGGTGTTAGGCCTCATCCAAATTTTGGTTCTGAAATCAGAGTCAGTGGTGAACACCACTGAAGTCAAGGGCACCCGAGAAGCGGGCTGGGGTGACACTCATGCTCTGAGACTTGAGGCGGGGAATGAGCTGCAGCCAGGAGGAGGTGGCTTCGCAGCCCATCTCAGGGCTCCCTCCTACCCACAGGCGCCCACCTGGACCGGAGGGATGGTGCCGCCCTCTCAAATACGACTTCTCTTTATTTTTGCTCAGGGCTCACGCTTCCCTGCAAGTATGTGGCTGCAGGGCAGGACTTTCCTACATCTGACCATCTGAGAACAGCCTGAGCTCCCAGCACCATGGGCTGCAGACCAGTCAGCATTAATGCCAGGGACTCACACTTCCCCAGTTTTAGGTGATACAGAAGTCGGCCCCAGGTGAGTGAAACAAAAACGGGTCTCACCACCAGGACCAGCCTCCGTTTATTTTTGGTTCTGGGGTTTCAGGTTTGCATGTTAGGAAGTGAGGCCTGGCCTGCCCCAGGACAGAAAAGAGGAAGTGATGCTGGCCTTCTCGGCGAGCTGACAGGCTCAGAAGGAAACGCCAGCCTGGGGAATCTCGCCGTCCTAGCAGCCACAGAGGGCTCTCTCCAAGTTCAATGGAAGCAGGCCACTCTGAAGCCCAGACCCAGGCCGTGCCCATATCAAAATGCTAAGCTAATGGGGACTTGTAGCTATGTCCCCAGAAGGTGCTGACATAGACTCTGGGCCCCAACAGCCAGCAGAGCACAGTTCCTGGGGCTTCTGAAGAAAGTATCTGGGTTGGGCACAAAGAGATGGAGGCTGTGATCATGGGGAGGGGGAGGGGGCAGCAGGGGCTTCCTCTTGAAGCACTCCCAGGTGAAGGCGCCGACGGAGGCAATGACTTACCATATCTGCAGTTTAATTCTCTTGCCATCTAGCTCTATGGTCCTAATTTTAAAGTCAATTCCTGAAAGAAAAGGAGAAAAAGAGGCACATCATTGTCAGACCATTTCCCAAGTGGCGTGTGAGGTGGGCACTGCCAACCTGTGCAGGTATTAGCTACCACGGCTTGTGGAGCACCTGGCTGCCACTGGGCATGTAGGGTCTTGGAATCCCCACAACAAATCTGGAGGCATCCGGAGAACTTTCGCCTCTCACAAAAGGGGAAGCGGAGGCTCAGAGGGCAGACAGGAGCTGCCTGGAGTGAAGCCGGCAGCTGGCAGAGCTAGAGGGCAAACCCAGGTAGTTCAGGTGCCAAAGCCTTGCTCTCTTTCCTCCAACGACAGGCACCTCACAGAGTGGGCCTTTGCAGGCCAGAGACCCCCGCTTTCTGCCACCCCGCCCCTGGCCCAGCACATGAGGCACTAGGCCCCAAGATGCCCCTGATGCAGGTGGGCCTCCAGCCTTTGCACACACTGCTCTCTGCGGTGGTCCCCACCCTGCCCACCTGTCAGCCTGGCAAACTGCTTTCTCCTTTAAGAGCCACTCAAGGGTCACCTCCCTAGAAGCATTCCTGACCCTGCCTTCCTCTCTCCCAACCACTGGCTTTAGTCCCCAGGACCAGGGTGACCTCTCAGCCTCCTCAGCTGCTCTCCAAGCTACCACCGTTGCTGCCTCAGTTCCCCCCGCAGCTTCCAAAAACACCAACTCAACTATGTCGCAAAGCTAACCTCTGCTCCAAACCTTCCAGTGTCCACCAATGGATGAATGGATAAACGAAATGTGGTGCATCCATACAATGGAATAGTACTCAGCCATGAAAAGCAATAAAGCACTGACACACACACAACAACACAGATGAACTCTGAAAGCATCATGCTGAGTGAGAGAAGCCAGACGCAAAAGGCCACACAGTGTGTGATTCCATTTATATGAGATGTCCAGAACAGGGAAATCCAGAGACAGAAAGGCAATTAGCGGTTGCCAGGGGCTACAGGAGGAATGAGGAGATGGGACGCCACGGGGTGGGATGGTGGTGTAACTAAGGAGCTTGAGGTTTCTTTTTGGCATAATGAAAATGTTCTAGAATCGATGGTGGTGATGGTTGTACAACTCTGCAAATACACTCAAAGCCACCAAATCATACATTTTAAACGGGTGAGTTGTATGGTTTGTGAATTTTATCTCGATAAAACTGATACAAAAACCCAAAGCTTCCCACCATCCCCTCAGCCCCAGAATGAAGTGAAAACAGTTGCCTGGGTGCTCCAAGATCCTGCCTAACCTTGTTAACTCGCAGTACCCACAGCTATGTCCTCCTCTGGCCACACTGCCCACGTGGCTGTTTCCTAAACATCCCAAGCACGCTCTGGCCTCAGGGCTTTTGTGCTTGCTCTTCCCTCTCTTGGAGTGTCCTTCCTTCCACGATCACCTGGCTCCCCCTCTTTTTACTCAGGTCCCTGTTCAAGGCACCTCCTCCAAGAAGCATTCCTGACCATCCTCGTCCTTTCTCCTTACCTGCTTTCTTCTTCACACACTTATCCCTGACATCGTCTATTTGGTTATTTGCTCCATGAACGTTAAAAGCAAAACCTGCTGATCTGAATGGCCTGCGTGGAGAGGAAACAGCCAAACCCAGTCTCTGCCCCTGGGAGTTTGTTCTAAATCAATGCCCGTGAAGCTCTAAAGCTCAGGCCTGGCTTGATCCCTCAGAATCCATGATGGTCATGCTAATTCATTCCTGCCCATTTCAGGAGCTGTCCTGGGGACCATGAACAATATAAGCCTGCACTTGAATTGTGTCCACTAGACCATAAGCTCCATGAGGACAGGGACTCAACAAGTTTTATGGCCACATAGCCAGTGACTAAGTGTGGCAGGGGTTGAATGCCTATTTTCTAGAAGCCAACTGCCTAGTCCTGCACACACACCTTGACTACAGGCCTTGTCACAGTTCTGCTTCCCTCTGATTCATCCGAGTCATCTCTGCAGTCCCCGTACCAAAGCACACAGCAGACATCAGAGAAAGATGCTTGAATGAACGAATTAAGAGAAACGGGATCTATGTGGCGCTGCATGGCTTAAAAAGCACCTTTACCAACATCATCAGTCTCCCTGAAAGAATGAATGAATGAGGCCCTGAGGAAGTAGTGAGGGCCAAGCCAGGCTGGGGAGAACCAATTCCCAGAGCCACAGGGCCAAGTTCACAACACATACAATCAATGGAGTTTACGAGAACAGGCTTTGGCAAACATAACCTGGGCAGAAAATGAAGAGCCACTTAATCCCTGATCTATAAAGAAAACCCAGAGGTACACTCAGTGCCAATGGAGAATCCCCTTGATGCATTACATTGTATTTCAAAACTACATGGCCCAGTGTCGTCTCTTCCTAAAACATCCCCCATCTCGTCACAGATGCAAGGGACCTATGAAATCAAGAAGCACCATTCAGTCAGCAGAGCAACACAACATCGCTCTGTCCTGTCCTCCTCCAGGGTTTTATTAACACACCAAATTTAATTAGTCAGTGTAAAGTTTACGACACCTAAGAATTATGAGGCTATAACTTCAAGGTCAGGGTGAATTAAACTTTCCTAGAAGACAGAGGCCTGCAGGAAGGCTACAAGTATCATGAAACCAATACAGAGTGGGTGGGAGGGATCCTGGGTTCAAGTGCCATGCCACCTCTACCTCCCTAGGTGACCTTGCCAAAGCCATGTCCTCATCTGCAAGTAGAGGCCAGCCTCCCTGGAGCCCCAGAGTGCCAGCCTGGATTTTCTGGTCAAGAATCAGAAACCAAACAAAAACCCACCCCTGCATTGATCTCAGCAGTACTTGTGCTGAACAGGAAGATCCTGACACTGGGAAACTGAGATCTGTGTCAAGAGTGACCCACAGCCTGCCAGGTGTTAACATCACTTCCTGACTTGGGGGGGCCCTCAAGGATTATCCCAAAGTTTGACCTTGGAGTGGGGGAGGGGACGAATCAGAAACACCTACGCTTCAGGGAGGGACATTATCACTATAGAAGTCATTCTGCTTCCTCTAGATCAGCGGTTCTCAACCTTCCTAATGCCGCGACCCCTTAATACAGTTCCTCATGTTGTGGTGACCCCCAACCATAAAATTATTTTCGTTGCTACTCTATAACTGTAATTTTGCTACTGTTATGAATCGTAATGTAAATATCTTTTTGTTTTCCGATGGTCTTAGGCGACCCCTGTGAAAGGGTCGTTCAACCCCCAAAGGGGTCATGACCCACAGGTTGAGAACCGCTGCTCTAGATAGTCCCTGGTAGTGGTGACAACCTTCTATTTATTGTACAGTTCTGATCCTCAACCACTCAGGGCTCCACAGAGAGCACCACTCCTAAACTGAAGAAACAAGGCTCAGAAAGGTGAAGTGATTGTTCAAGGTGAACAGCAGCTGGAAATCAGGCAGAACAATTTCCTCTACTTTGCACCTGGCACCTAATTGTTTTATAAATGCAGCTCCTGGAGGAGGGCAATCAGCAGCTCATCGTGGGGTTCAGGAGATAAGTTCATTGGGTTCAAATTACACAGGGGTAAGGCAGAGCCTCTTCCCTAGATTTTCTCCATTCAGAATTAACTCCTGGGCTTGGCAACCGTTTCCAGCTTCTCCACTGCGGAGCAAGGCCGGATAGATCAGTGTTACTCCCAGGTCAAACCTTTTCACGTGGGCAACAGTGTGGCATGGGGAGAAGTCAACTCCATTTTTGTGGCCGTCAGAACTGAAAAGCAACAAGCCAATTCTGTTCAACCACAATGTGGGCTGGCCTTGCGGGAAAGGCTGTTCTGCAAAGAGACAACCGGTATATGGAGCCTCACGATAGGGAAGTCAGGGCTGTTTGTGGCAGCGGCTGATATTGGTTTCTCACTGAAGCTTTTTATCTGGCATCTCCTTAGGGATGATAGGTCCCAAGGATGGCAGCTGTCGCCTGCCAATGCTGACCCTTCAGTGGGATGGAAGGCAGAACAGGGAAAGGCTCTGGACTCCCTCTCACCATTCCTTCTAGAGGAAGTTCACCTATGGGGGAAACAGGGTCAGGGATTAGAAGCTTTACCCCTGATTATTCCTGAGGAAAGAGCAGGAGAGGTCTAGGTTAGAGTCCTGGCTCCAAGGTGGATCAGCTGTGCTTGTCCTGTGCTCCCATTCTCTGGGATGGCTGAGCCTTGAGTTTCGGGGTCAAACACGTATGGATTCAAATCCCATCTCTGTCACCTACAGTCAGTATGACCTTGGGCGAGTCCTACGCCTCCCTGAGCTTCAAATTCATCATCTGTGAGATGGGCTCACAACAGACCTAACACAGAGAACTGGAGAGTGTCATAATGCACATACAGTGCCTGGCACAGTAAATTATTAATAAACTCAGATGTCACGGGCCTTTACCCACAGCCAACTCCACATGCCTCAGTTTCACTTCTGCAAGATGGGGACCTCAAAAGAACTGCTTCAAGGGCTGCTGTGAGGACAGGACAAAATGAAGGGCGCCAAGACTCCAGCTCAAGACTCACTTAACAGCGGGCTCAGGATTGGGACCTCAGTCTCCTCATCTGCAAAATGGGCACTTGGTCTCCCCCCCCCATGGCCCAGGGACGCCCGAACGCTGGCCGAGGCGGCTGCTCTTCCCCCCTCGTACCCCCTCGACCATCTCAGATCTCTAGGTCCGTCCAGCCCGGCCCGTCCCTCAGCCCCAGTCCCTTAGGGGCGCGCCCGGCCCCGGCCTCCGGCGACCCCCGCCGCTCCCCGGCCCCGCTACCTATGGTGGAGATGAAAGTGGAGTTGAAAGCGTCCTCGGAGAAGCGGAACAGGACACAGGTCTTCCCCACCCCCGAGTCCCCGATCAGCAGCAGCTTGAACAGGTAATCGTAGGTCTTCGCCATATTACACTCTCTCCCCGACGGGAAGTGAAGCCAGCGCCTCGCCACTGGCCGCTGGCCCCGTCCATCAGCGCCCAGCCCACCTCCCATTGGCTCCCGGCCCGCTGCGCGTCACCGCGGCCGACGCCCGCCACCGTGCTCCTCCCGTCGCGGGGAGATCTGGGGAAGGGGCGAGCGGGGCCCGGAGCCGGAAGAGGCCCGAGAGCGCCTCTCATTGGCCAATGCTCGGGACAGGGCGGTCTACGATTGGCCAGCGGTGAGGAGTCGAGGGGCTTCAAATGAAGACCAGGGTAGGGGGCGTGGCACCCCGGGTCCCCGCCTTCTTTCCCCGACTCCGGGGAGGCCCCGTCCCGCCCCTGAGGGGCGGGAGTGCGGGGAGCGGCGCCAACGGTTCCGCGCGCCCGCAGCCTGGGGGCGGGGTCTGGGGTGCGTGCGCACGCGCGCCGGGGAGACCGTTAGGCGCCAGCAGGGGGCGCACGCTCGTAGAGGGGCTCTGGCTCCCGCCTTCTGGGTCCACACAGGCTCCCTAGGCACTAGGGAGAGCGCGGGAATGTACGTTGGTTTTGGCGGTGTTTTCTGGGGGCCTGCATGTCAGGCCTGGGTAAGCCGAAGAGGAAAAGATTGAAGAGAGATCGTCACAGTCGAAGCGAGGGCCCCCGAGACGTGCTCCGGGATCCCAGCGCTGGCCAGGGGACCTATTTAAAGACCCCCAAGCCGCTGCCACCTGAGCGTGCTAAGACAACTCAGGACACGCCCTCGGACCTAATTAGAGGTTGTCCAGACTACTCTGCTTTCAGTTCTTCCCCTGGAGCCTGCCCACCCCATCCCAGCCAGCCCTTTGAGGTTCAGAACCTGCCGAGGGAGTTAGGATAGTGAGAATCACAGGTAATATTTAGGAACATTGGTTCTGTGCCCGCCAGTGGTGTCAACACTTAATAAAACAAAATATTTAATTCCCACCCCAACCCATTGTGGGGTAGGTATTGCTGTTTAACCACGTTTTACGGTGAGAAAACCGAGGCCATAGAGGCCAAGTGACTTGCTCAGACCCCAAAGTGGGAAGTTGGGTTTTGAATTCAGACCACAAGCTGCAGAGGCCAAAGTCTTGATCCCTAGGGTTTCCTGCTTCTCAGATGGGACAAACCCTCATTCTGGGCCATCAGAGAGGCCTCGGGGCTGGCCTGAGGATCTTCCGAGAGATGGCCCTGGGGCTCCCCTCCCTTGCACTTCAGCTCATTCTATTAATCTGTTTCGGAAAAGCTTCACCCAGAGCCATGGACACCTTGTAGGCTTCAGACCCCTTGGTATTTCATGCTGTTGACCACCTACTCTGGCAATTCCTTTTCTTGGTACTCCCCCATTTTAATTGCCTGTTTCTTTACCTGCTACTTATACCTCCCTTTCTCTGGGTGCTGCTTCTCAGATTCCCTTAGGGTCTTTTTTTGGGGGGTGGGGTTATTGCTTGTCCCCTAGATGTTCATGTTCCTGATGGTTCTTCCTGTCTCTGTTCCCACTTTCTGAGTGATCTTACTTCCTGTGGCTTCAAGTATTTCCACACTAGTGATTTTCACTTATAAAAGAATTCATCACCCTCCCAGCCGTCCCTCAATGTCCAACTACTTTCTTGACATCTGCCTTTGGATTCGTCAAAGATACTTCAAATTCATCATGTCCACAACTGACCTCGACATCTTCTACTCATACAACTTGTCCTGAATTACCTTCTGGCTGAAACCTAAGTTGCCTTTGAGACTTTTCTTTCATCCCTCACATCCTGGTTCTCAAGGGTCTAAATAGCTCTTGAATCTTGCTCTTCTGTTCCCATGGCCCATCAGATCATCACATCTCTCCATTGGTCTCCCCGATCATTCTCGAATCCAGATTCCACCCTGCAGTGTGCCCATTCTAAAACACTTACCCAATATCCATCCATCCTCACATTCTGATCCTAACCTCACCCTGTGTTCCACCCACACTTCATGGGACTGGAAACTCCGAAAAAGCCGAGACAGGTCAGTTGAATAAACATTGAACACTTGTGTTACATGCTGAGGCACAAGGATGACTAAAACAGTATCCTGGGGTGAGTAGGAGGGAGAGAGAACTTCAATCTAGTATTGGTAGGGCACTTGGATTATATTTTGACATTCTCCTCATCTACCATCTAAACGAGCTCAGTTGTCAGCCAAACGTAGAATAGCAGGAAATGTTTTCAGTTGTACTTGGTAACAAAAAATTGTTTGCATACTACATCAGTGTTTTAAAGGCTTTCATTTCTCTTTTTGATTCCCTACCCTCCTTCCGCAAGATCAGATCTTGAGGCAAAATACCAAAGCAATTCAGATAGTGAAACTACGGTAATCTTTGCCACTTTTAAGTTCTCTGCCATCCAGTCAGCTAAATATTAAGATTACTTCCTTCAGATCACTTATTCCTTCTTATTCCATGGCAAACACTTCCCTGGATTAATGGAAACATCTTCCTAACTGGCCTGCCTGCCACCAGTTTACCTCCGTTCTAGTCCTTCCTGAAAACGAATGCTAAGTGGGTTTTCCTAATGTCAGTGGCTCTCCACTCCTGACCAAATTAAGGTTCTCATCAACGTGGATCCAGCCTACCTTCCAGCTTTCCTATTTCTTTCCTTTATATATGCAACATATAGAAGACCTTACCCAGGCAGGCCTTTTGCCTTCCTGACTCAAGCAACAGGGACCATCTTTCCTGCTATCTCATCTATTTAAATCCCACTCATTCTTCACAGCCTGGCTCAGCAGGATAGGGGATAACAAAGGACCGGAGCTTTTGAGTTACTGAAACCAAGTGTTCTCACCTATAATAAAGAGATCATAGTCCTTACATTATGATGTTGTGGTATAAAGCCAATAAATAAAATTTGCTAAGTTTGTGGCATACCTCTCTCTCCATCCCATTCATTCATTGAACCAAAAATGCCCTCCATCTCCCCACGCATGCTATAATCAACACAAATTATAGTTTATGTAAAAATTTATTTGACCAAAATGTAGAAAAAGTGATACTATTACATATGATACAGCTGCAAGAATCTAAATGAAAAGTGTATGTTCTATTCAATTGCACAATTTGCTAGTGTATCTCCTGGGTAGTGTGATGCGTAAGAAATAGGAGTGAGGGGCAGAGGAGTCAGATAAGCTAGAAACAGGGTGATTTTGAGTCAGAATTGTAAACTGGCCCCCCACACTGCTGGGGAATATGGAATGTTTCAGCTCTTGAGATGTTAACCGAGAAGGCAAGACTATAACAAAGCGAAAACGTGCAGCCTTGTCTACAAAATACTCCATATCCAGTTTTAATCAGGAGTTTCCTGGTCTTTAATTAACTTGGTCCTGAAGAAGGAATTAAAGTCCTAGATATGTAAATCTTCAATTTACCGTTCCCTAAAGTACAGAGGAGATGAAGTTAGGCCAGTTACTGTATCTCTGCTGCCAGAGGCCCCTTCTGACCAGTATTAATAGAAAAATGCTCTTGCTCAATTATTGACAGTGTGCAGTCCCATGAACAGGCTTAAATTCTACCATATTCATTCCTACTCAGTGGATGGCCTCTTATCAGAGTAGTATGACTATTTCCCCAGCATTCTCATACTGACTGCTCAGAAGATGTTTGTTCTGCATAGTAGCATGTGGAAAAAAGCCAGGGTGATTAGGTTAATCTACCTGTGGCTATGACTTCCCACAAAGCACCACCCCCCTTTTGCCCTGGATGGAAAACCCCCACCCATTTTAATGTGATGGTTCCTGGCCTCCTGTAGTGTGTCCATTGGTGACTCTGAGGTTCTATTCTTCAACCTTTTAAATTGACCAGTGACTAGATATTGGAGTCTGTGTTTTAAAAGTGTGGCGTTGTCTAATCTCCCCAGGAACCAAATGCCCTCAGTATTAAGAGACTATGTCCAATAGGAAACACCCTGCCTACCTTAGGAATAAATGCAATTTAAGAATAAAAATAGAGCTGAAAAAGCTGGTGCCATTTGAAAAAAAAAATAGAAAGGAATTAAATTTAACTGGTGCTCAAAGCTTCTCTGATACAAAAGATTTGGTCACATATTCATAATTTGCTTGACATTTCCAGCAAAGCGCAGATGCAGTAACAAAAGAAAACTTCTTACAAGAGAAGAGAAAGACACGGAGGTCTGGAGCTTCTGTTGAAACAACTCTTCCGCTTTGGTTATATACAGTTAAGTTCATTTAGTGTCTGATCCAGTGTCTGATGTAAGCCCACGTTCTCTTCTTTGGCCTGGGCAAGTTTTTCTGGTGAGAATTAAAAGTGGGAGAAAAATAAATGAATAAGCATGTTTGTTCAAGGGGAAAAAGGTTTTCTAAACTCCTCACTGCCAGAGCGAAAGTCATAGCAGAGAAAGTACTTTACATCTTAATAAGAATGGAACACCATGGAATAATTGAGACCAAGTCCCAAATTTGGGAGTCAGATAGGATTGTAGGATAAAATACAGGGTGTTCGTTAAATTTGAATTTCAGATAAACAAAATTTTAGTATAGATATATCCCAAATGCTGCATGAGATAAGCCAAAAAATTATTCAGTGCCTATCTGAAATTAAAATGTAACCGGCGTCCTGTATTTTAATCTGCTAAATCTGGCAATACTGGTTTTGGAGTCAGAACACCTGGATTTCAGCCCCAGCTGTGCTACTGAAGCCACTGAACCTTTCTAGGTCTATTTCCTCATCTGTCAAATGGGGATAACAATACCAATGTGTGGTATGGGGGTTATTATGAGACATGAGAAATGCTTCAGGACTTATGAAGCGCTACACAAACATAAGATTTTAGTCCTAGATATGGGTAACTTACTCCATTTTCCCCTTTGTGTCAGCTAATTAGTCCCTGAGCTTTGGGGAGGAAAATATAATCCTGCAACCCATCTTTCCTTTGGTGTTTCTGGGAATGGCTGTTGAAATTCCAGGCATAATTGTGTTATTGTGTCCGTGTCCATAGCAGTGTAGTCAATCCCCAGGTAAACACAACACAGACTATAGGTATGTTATTAAGTGATTGAGCTGATGAAACACATTTTTTTAAAAAGTAAGATGCCATTTAGGGCTATGCATGACAGAGCACAAGGGAGAACTGGTTTGCCGTGAGTGATGGCCGATAAGGGATTAGGCCGAGGCTCATTAAAATACTGGAGGGGAGCAAAATGTCTTATAAAATGTGATAGGATCAGCTTGGAAATTTTCAGAAAGAAAAAAAGTGACTGCAGAAGATAGCAGCCTTTCAACTACAACTATTGGACCTTTCATTTGATGAGGCACTTAAAAAAAAAAAATCGAGCCACTCTAATCTGGGAGGATTCCATCAGAGAGAACAGCGACCCAGGCCTGTTCAGTCTGGGAGGACACATGGTAACTGAGTGCCTACTATTGTGTGAGCTAATTTCTCCACTCTCATTTAATCCTCGCAATAACTGAGATGCCACCATTTTTTTTTTTTTTCCAGAAAAGCTAAGTAGCATGTTCAAGGGCACACAGCTAATGTGGTAGAGCTAGAATCTAAACCCAGATATCCCAAATCCTGACCTCACCTTGCCACTAGATTCCTGGCATCTACTTTGTTATTAGGTCTGAGATAAAATAACCTTCCCTGTAAGTGTTAATTGCCCTTGAGAATTGTAACAGACCCATAGACTGTCAACAGGTCATAGTAGATCCCCATTGCCCAACTCTCTTGTCAATCAAGTTCTACTCAAGTGCTTAGTTAAGCAGAATGACCGGAGAGGCAGGGCTGCAGTTATTTTCAAAGAGGGGAGGCTACAAATGTCTGGAAAAATACCAGGAACAAAAACACGGAGCAAATAGAAAACACCCACTCCTACACAGTCTGTAATATTTCCAGGGACGGATGTATGGCACTGTGTGAGGGGAGTGGTGTGTGCATTCGTTTCCAGTGGGTGGCAGTTAGGAGTAGGGAGAGGCTGGGTGTGGAAGGGTCTAGATTGTTCAGGGGAGACGTATTTTGGAGCAATGAATATGAAAAAAGAATCAGGACACAGGTTCCCACCTGAATAAAAAATTACAAAATAAGGAATGAAAAGCTATAGGGACCCAAAATTCATCATTCTAATCGGAGATTTTCATGCCATTTTCAGGTTCATGGGGCCGTCTGGAAGATGTGGCTTAGACATCATCATGTCAGTGTTTCTGGGACAATCTGAGGTGGTGGAGGGTGGGGTGCAGGGGAGGACTGGATAGACTATTTGAAATTTGGACTCTCTTGGAAAAATCTACGAGCTTTTGGTCACTATAACCATGACTTTTTAACACCCACAGGCTAACTTGATGAGCTCTTCCTCCACCAAAGCAAGGCTCCCGGTTCTAGTTAATTCAAGTATGAGGGGATGTTAGATTCTCAGGCAACTGGAACTCAGGAATGGAGCACCTCACCTCCTTTCTTTGGCATTCTAGCAGCTTCCATTCCCTTTCTGTCTAATGCTCTTTAATTCTGTTTAGGGTTGTTTTCTAAGGGCAAGGCATAGAGGTGAGCTTCATGAGTGAACTTCCTCCCAGGGGTGGGGGGTGGATAGATGTTCCATGAACAATGAAGACACAGGGAACCCCAGGCACCATTCTCAGAGTATAACACAAAGAAACAAATGCGAAAAAAGAGGACTCAAGAGACCAAAATGCCACTGCTGCTGTTTGAATCCGTAGAGCAAACCCCATTCAAGGGTAGCTTTCTTTTTAGCCACAAGCCTGCTGGTTTCTGCAAGTTCTGCCAGCGCCATGAAGCTGCTTAAGGTGGGTGAGTCTACACTCAAACCAATTCCTATTTAAGGAAAACCCACTACTGGCATGCAGATAAGAGTTAGCTAACCCCGAGTCTGAAAGCTAGTGCCAAATGGGCTTTTGTTTTCACGGCATCAGAAAAGTATCAGGTGGGCATAATTTTCTTTCTGAAATGAGCTCTCCATCTGAACCTCCCACTTTCTGTTGCAGCCCATTGTCAAGGGCATCATAGCTACTAGGGCTCAAAAGCAGCAAGTGGAGAAAATGAAAATGAGAGGGTATGAAGATGAGGACCGCCTGTTTTTATTCCGGTCACAGACACAGCAGAAGACAGCTGGAAGGATCAAACGAGGAAGCAGGACACGGGAGCTTCTAGAAGCCCACGGAACGCAGGCGCCACAGTGAGAAGGCAGACTTCAGTACTGTTAGGACAGAGGGCAGCACCCCTGCTGCCTCTCAGAGAGAGGTCATGTCGTTGAGAGCATGGTCTAGCTCCTCGCTGATAGCCTTGTACTTGAGCTTCTGAGCATACAGCTCGTCTAGAGGGCGGAGGTCCCCAGGGAGAGTTCGGAAGAAGAGGTACAGGGGACAGAACACGAGGGTCGGAATGGTGTGTCACAGATGAGCAATGAAAGGAAGAAAAAAAAGTGAGAAGAAAACAAAGCATGAACTAGGAGGAAGTTGTGTCCTATCGAAAACAAACGAGAAAACAAAAGAAAGAGTGATTTCTAAGTGATTTGAGGTTCTACAGCGGATTAGCCATAATGAACCTTTAGGAATGGTGACCAGAAATGCACAGAGCTTTTCCTCACCCGTCTCCCACCAGGCGTTGTCTGACTGTCAATTATGTCACCTGGTTCAAAGGTCATACTTTGGACCAGGGGCATTTCCCTTATATGGAAACCTCACTTCGCAAACCAAACATGGGACACATGATCTGAGTGAGTGGTTCGCACCTTCTCTGGGTGGAATAGGCAGCTTGGGAGGTTCTGTATGAACCCCACAATCTGCAATTCCTGAATTATTTCATGAAGAACACAGGACAGAATTTTTATAAAAAGTTGGAACTCTACAAGAAATTCGGGGATCAGTGGGCACCAGGCTAGCAGACTAGAGTCTTAATTTAGTCTCTACATTCTCTATATTTCCTTTTTCTCAGCTGGTGATAAGCTGAGCTCTCTGGGAGAGAGCTTCAGTAAAAATGCAAGGCATCTAAAAAATGCAAGGCATCTCTCAGAAATGAGGAAATAGAGGGCAATTCTAAAGATTTTTTTTTTTAATCAGACATATTTGGGTTTCTGTACTCACATGTGGAGCTAATTAAACAGACAGTTTACTTCTCGAAAAATAGCAACCCAAGTCTGAGTCTGATTGGCACTATCCAATTCCAGTGTGTGACGTCTTCCAGGTGTGACGTCACAATGCATTCTACTATCCTAAGGCAAACAAAGCCGAACTCGGCCTCTGCACAGATCTCCCCCAACTCCCTGTGGATGTGTTGGGATAGGGGGAGGCAGAGCAAACATAATTACATGGTCATTTCATACCTTCCAGGTCATCAATTGTCTTTTCCAGTTTTGCAACCGTTCTCTCTGCAAATTCAGCACGGGTCTCAGCCTAAAGAAAAAGATAGGAGTCGCTATGATTGCTTCAAGACCAGCCCCAGGAGAAACCCAATCAGCTGGGTGTGATTACTCACCTCTTTCAGTTTGTCAGACAGAAGTTTAATTTCTTCTTCATATTTATCCTCCTTTTCAGAATACTGTGGGAGAAACCAAAACGCTGCTTTTAACAAAAGGAGACAAAAACAAAGCATAAAAGAACACCGGTTCCCTGCTCCTTGGAGGAAAGCGTGTGCCTGAACATGCCTAAGAAGCAAAGTAGAGGCAGGTACCTTTCCAAGCAGAAGACGTGTGCAAAACTCAGAATCTTTGGGCGAGCCCTCCGTGATGGTACTGATCTGAAGACCTGAGCCGGTAACTTGAAATAAAAGTGTGATGAAGGTGGGCCGATGATTGAATGGAAATGCATGCTACTCAAGGCCCCTCACAGCTATGCTTCCAGCCCATTTCCTACCAGCTTCCCCAAGACACTGGCCACTTCCTCAACAGATTCTGTGTACTGTCTGGTCTCCCATCCCTTGTCTATGATGGGGTCCTCCAGGACAGAATGTTCCTTTCCCCATTACTCCCTGTCAGAAATTACATGTCACCTGAAACTAATAAAAAAAAAATTTTCTTAATGAAATAAAAAATGACTTTGTACTGTTTTAATAAATGTTATTTTTTTAAAAAAAGAAACAATGTATGTCTGTCAAGGCTCACCTCAAATTAATATTAGCATTTATCAACTGCTCGCTCTGTGGCTAGAGATCCTCAGCCCCATTTTACAGATGAGTAAAGAGTTGGCTAATTTGTTTAGGGTCACATGGCTATCAAGTGACCCAGCCTCAGCTGGAACTTGATTCTGGAATTTGAGCTCCTGGCCATCACCATGCTCTACAGCCTTTTTAAAGGTCACCACCGCCTTGTGACACCTTTCCCAGCTTTCCAAGGTCCCTCTGTTGAAGTCCCAAAGCACCTTGTTATCTTGTCAGTCTCTTCCACCCAACTGTGAGCTCTCAGAGGAGCAGAGGCCATACTGTCCCTGTAACAGCTGTCCCTGTGGGCTCAGGTAGCATCTGGCACACACATCTGGACTGTATTTACTCATCAAATATTCGAGTATCAAATATATGCCAGGCACAAGGCTAGGACTAATGGCACAGCTCTAAACAAGTCAGATAGGGACTCTGTCCTTAAAGTTTACTATCTAGCAAGAAAGACATGCAATTAATTGAGTAATTATAATAAATATTATCAACCATCATGATGGGAAAAGACGTAGGTGGGGCTACACAGCTGAGAAAACGCCTAACCTAGATGAGCAATCAGGGAAGGCTTCTCATCAGAAGTGCTTTTTAATTTTGCTGCATTAATTGAGTCCAAGTTTTTTTCCCCAAAATGTGTCAGAAATCCACAAAAAAACAAAAAGTTGATATTTTGTTTATTTTATGCATTTAATCATAACAACTTGCGGTGCTCTGCATATAAATGACATTATTTTTATGTATAAAAATTTGAGATATAGTCATTCGGATATATCCAACCATTGTGGCAAAAGGGTTAAGCAGAGGCCTAAAGGATGAATAGGAGTTTATCAAACAAAGAGAAAAGGAAAGGCCACTCCAGGCTGAGTGGACAGCAGGTTCAAAGAGCTGGAGGTGATGAGAGAACAGGAATGTTTGTGAAACCAAAGTTCAGTGCAACCGGAGGGCAGTAGGTGGAGGGAGTGAGGAAGAGATGAGGATGGAGAATTCGGTGGGGTGAGCCATGGAAGACTGCTGATATGATTCTATTCTGTAGGGACTGCTCTGGGTACTGTGTCAACCCTAAAAAGCCCAATTCCACCTCTGATATCTGCTGCATGATCTTCAAGAAGGTATTTCTGGAGGAACCAGGAGATTCAAAGGAGAGTGGGGCTCTGTACTGATAGGATTATGCTCAGATGTCCCCCAGAGGAGCCTGACTAGGCACAGATCTCACATTCCACCTTCACCCTAAGAAGTGGAGATAAAATATGGCGCTAAAAGACCCCACGGAAGAGGGACATCCAGCCGCCGAACACCTGGTCCTATGGGGGGAAAAAATGAGCTACTGGGCACCAAAGCTGCTGTTAGTAAATACAGGTCAGATCGCTAATACCCCCGGTGGCGTGCTCCTGGGTACCCTGGGGGAAGAAAAGAAGCAAGTCTAGCCAATCACCCTCCAGCTCAAGCCAGCCAACCTTTTCAGAGGCAGCCTCCAGCGACTTCAGGTTGTTAGTGACATTCTTGAGTTCTTCTTCCAGGTCACCGCATTTTCTGCACAAAGACAAAGGATTTTTGTGTCTTATCCTCCCTCACAGCAGGCAATTCCCCTCAAAGCAGTTTTCCAAAGGAAGACTGCCATACCGCCTGGGGCCCCCATGAGGAATTCTGGGGAAAAATGTTAATGGCCTTTTCTGAGCTGAGTGCTGTGTACTTATCAAAACCCTATCATGCCAGGCGAAGGCGCGGCAGGCAGGCCGAGGATATTTGGAAGGTTTGTAGAATGCTCCTGGGCTCCTGCCAAGTCTGAGGCAACAGGGACTTGCGGAATCTATGATTGATGAGGCCGACTCTGACTCCGGAAGGTGTAGCAATGAAATGGAGAGCAGGAGGCTGGGAGACTGCAATCAGAGTCTACACTGGACACTCCAGGAAGCAAGCTCTGAACAGATTTGCGAAACTGGATCCCTCTCAGTGCTGCGGGATGCGGGATGCGGGATGCGGGATGCGGGATGCGGGAGGCTCCGTGGCGCTGGAAGGCCCAGGAGAGGATTTTTGTTTTTCTGGCGCTTGTGGGATTCTGGTAAAGCTTCTCACCCTACCCCCCCCCCTCCCAGAAATGTGTCATGGCCAAATAATGACATCAGCAGCAAAGCATTTTCAACACGGGGGTGGGGGGGTTCG